CTGAAGTTGATGAATCAAAGGTACAATTTGTTGAGCGTATTGTTTGCTGGCCATGATAAAGAGTCGATCGTATGCACTTTTGTGTTCTATATATCGTACACACTCTGTTACGTCGTTAAATAGCTTGATATAGTTGATGATTCCACGTAAGCTTTGCTGAAAATTGTGGTTTTCGTCGAGATGATTCTTTGTATCAAGCCAAATAAGACTGAATGTTTCAAGATCATCGTAATCGTCATAGGTATTAGAACCAACACCAGTTACGCTAGCCATAACTATCTAAATAATCAAAAACAAATAGATTGTCGCATTTCCAAGGTTTGTTGTATTAATATGGGAACCAAAATCAAGTTTCTCCCATACTCATGATAGAACATATCAATCTGAAATGTATCAAGGAACCTTCCGGCAACATGGCTATAATAAGTTGTAAAAGTATGTTCTATGTATATGAGTGTTGTCATGATTTAAGAGAAATTCCTATTCCATAGTATCTCCTCCTTATACGTAGGAAGTGTTCTGATATTTCCATTAGCAAAAAACAAACATTGTAATAGTTATAACAATCAACTCTCGTACATGTAGTTAGATTTTCTCTTTCGTTAGTAGCAATTATAGTGAAATAGAAAGTATCTTTATGAATACATAAATGTCAATAGAATATACGAAAGCATATGCAATTCATTGTTTTTTTCTGATAGTTTAGCACTCATAGATGGTTCTGTGTGCATTACCACTCGATCATCGACATTTTTCCTCTTTTACCTGTCTCATCTTAGCGAAAAAGCTCACTGCATAGATGTTATTACGAAGATTTTAAACTAATGTTTCCAGATGGAATACGTAAACTGCTAACTTTTTCATTTGACTCGATGCATTTAGTATGTACTATGTCGAGCTACATGTTTTTGAATCACGTCTGGTGAAAACAGTTACCCATCAATACTATAAGTGAAGTAGTTATGCATCAAAGTATGCGCGGTTATAATGCAAAACAACGTTGCAGGTATACTTCCTCAGAATTTATGCTGCAGTGTATAATCATTTTACTGAAAAACCAATGAAAAAAAAAGTGGCAGCTGTAATTATTAGGCTTATTTACCTAGAATAACACATGTGGTTTAAATAAGAAACGTCAAATTAGTAGATTTGGATCGCTCAAGTACTTAGATTCTGCACAGAAAAATGCCCAGAAAAAAAACTAAAAGTTTTACTTTTACAATAGGAATAGTCAGCAGTCAAGGATTTTTGCGACGACGTTCAGGAATAGTAAACTAACTTATTTTTTTTCATCGTTGTACCACGTTCTTCCGGGAAAATTGCAGCCAGTACACGCAGACGGACTGAATGAGAAAAAAAAAGAAAATGAAGCGTCATTCCATTCTGTTCTTTCTGTAAAATTTAGTCGGTAAGATTTGAAACAACTTAAGTAAAAATAAAAGTAAACTAGAGTTTGCTGTTTTTCTAAGAAAAAAATTATTCAACTGATATAAGCTAAATTTATTTTCAGCAAGTGGGGTCAGTCGAGTGTCAGTCGAACAATATGTGTAATGATACATATCCCAGCTCATTTTAAAATTATTATAAATAGTATTAGAGAATTATTTTATCACCCTCATATGTCATATTCATCAAATACTAACTAGTTGAATAGAAAATTGAAACTGGAGAGCTGAAACTTTTTTTTTCATAAAACGATAGTTTTCGACATAAAACAGTGTGCAACTGAAAACATTTTATGAAGAACGTTAAGCGAAGTAGGAATCTTATGATCTTACGTTTACTTTGATAGAGGAACAACAAAGAGTGTAATAATGGATGTGATATTTTATTATCATCAAAAAAAAAAGAATTAAAATCAATATACGTGAGTAGAAGTTTGTCAACTGAGGGTGTGGGTGTGAGTGTGGTTGTGAGTGCGCGTGGGGGGTGGGGTGGGTGTAATAAAAAATCCTCACCCACATCCACACACCCACCCCCATCCCACACCCAATTTGGTTCTTGTCCTTGTAGTACCATCGAGAACGCCATTAATAGAATCTACACCTTCAATCAAGTAACTCCTTTTATTTCAAAGAGTTCATCTAAATTTAAACGAACAGGCTGAAGTATTTTTCTCTCTCTACACCGATTCCCTTTTATCAAGTGAGCATGATAGGGCAAAATGGCTTGAACCCAGATTATTTAACATCATTGTCGATACCAAAGTCATACATAAAATCGAGTTACAAAAAATTACTCAATGATCCGAGCTGGGCTATTAAAAGAAAGCACTTGATCGCACGATCATAATAACTTTTACTTGCTTAGTTTCTACTTTCTTTTATAGTGATCCTATTTCTTTTTTGGCGATAATAAAATGTCACATACACAATCACATCACTTATTGTTTTTCTCTATCGAGTTGGTCTTCCAACAATGAGCGCACGATCTTCTTGAAGATTCGCCATTAAATATCTTTAGTCATACTCAATTTTACATCGATAAATATCGTTTTATGAAAAAGGGTGTGGGTGTGGGTGTGTGGGTGGGGTGTGGGGTGTCGGTGTGGGTGTGGGTGTGGGTGGATATGGAGTGTTGGTGGATGTGGAGTGTTGGTGGATGTGGAGTGTTGGTGGGTGTGGGGTGTGGGGTGTGTGTGGGTGTGGGTGAGGGTGGGTGCGCAGTGTCGATGTATTTTATGCGCGCAAGTTACACGCACACGCACACCCACATACACACCCACCCACACCCATACCCACACCCTTCTCTTCAATGTCACATTTGTGAATGCATGAAATATATTATTGAAGCAAAATATTTTTGTCAATGTAGTATTGGTTGGTCCGGTGCTCTATGTGATATTCCCATTCGTTGTAGCGATTGTTCATCTGATTCAATTTGTATTGGGATGATTCGTAATCGATCTATATGCGTTTGTCCTGTGCATAAAGGAGGATCACGTTGCCTCCTCACACTTTCATGTGCAGAAAATCTATGCAACAACAATGGTCATTGTGTAGGATAAGGGTTATCCCACAGAAAATTGCTATGTTTCAGCGCACCATATTGCTGTATGTTAATGAAATACCTCAAGCAGTTTTTGTGAAAATTGATAACAGTTACTATTTGAGTGCTTTTCAACAATCCGACAAATATAAAATCTCCGTTTCAATTGATTCCAAACAACGATGTACATCAGTTAATGAACTCTTGAATTCTGAACTGGTAGAGTCACCCGAAATTCGACGAGTTGAACATTATCATATGATATACCAAACTCATGTTCATCTGATATGTTTCTTCGATGAGTTTTATATGTGCTTTTGTACTCCTGAGCATCATGCCAATTGTATAAAGTTTAAACATGCTCCTTCAAAATGTGGACACAATGCTCACTGTCAAAACTGTGCTGAATGTTGGCAAGATAATCCTACGTGTCCAAGAGTAACAGTGTGTAGTTGCACTGATTGTTTCTTTGGCAATCAATGTAAGTTTTATGCAAAAGGCATTGGATTAACACTTGATGATATCTTGCGTTATGAAATCGAACCATATACAACGATGAATGATCAAACAAATTTGATTAAATGAAGTTCAGCAGTTACGATAATTATATTTGTTGCTGGATTAATCAATAGTGGTCTCTCCATTCTCGCATTTCGAACCAAAAGTTCAAGAGAAGTTGGTTGTGGAATATATCTTCTTGCATCATCAGTTACTTCTTTTCTCACAGTGTGTTTTTTCACATTTAAATTCTGGTTTCTTGTTTGGATTCAAATTAATCCATCAATTGGTCGTGTGGTTTTTCGACTAGTTTGTATATTAATCGAATTCTTTCTTAAACTTTGTTTATATACGGACAATTGGTTCAATGCATGTGTAGCTCTCGAATGGTCGATGACGATATACCAAAAGGGTCAATTTTAATAAAATGTTGAGCAAACGAATTGCACGATGGGTAATTTTCATTATCCATTCTTAATAACAGCGTCTATCATTCATGAACCTCTATATCGCAATATATCTGATGACATTGAAGAACAACGTCTATGGTGTGTTCTTCCTTATTCTCGTTCGATTCATATATACAATACAGCCATCTTATTGTTTCATTTCTTTGGTCCTTCCTGTGCTAATCTCTTTTCTGCTTTACTCATTATTTTCACTGGTGTTGATCGACGAGTAAGAATCCAAAAACGGCTAAACTTTAAACAACATCTGCATCAACAATTGAACGAACACAAAAATCTCATTATAAGTCCAGTAATTCTAGTCATTCTATCGTTACCTCGTCTGCTAATTTCAACGTTATCAGGATGTGTGAAAAACAACCATAGTTCATGGCTATATCTTGCGGGTTATATCATTTCATTCATTCCATCCGTAAGTATTTTCGTTATATTCGTTGTTCGAACGAAATTTTACAGAACACAATTCCAAGAATCGATCAATTATTGGCGGCGATGAATCTTCTCATCATGAAATTTCTTCTTTCAGAAAACACTGAACACTTACTAACAATACAAATATCTGAAGATTACTTTGTGTCTTTTTTAAAAGAAATGCATTCATCATTCTCTAGTGCCTAAATGTCAGCTTTCGTACATGTTAAGCTTCATCTTATTATATGTCACAAAAACATTGCAGAATATGACATACATACCACTACGAGTTTTTTCTACATTAGATAAGGAGATACTATAACGACAAGCTAGAAAAGTAGCTTTACCGTCACAGAGATAGAAACGAATTGTATCTATTTTTATCAAGACAATAAATCACTTGATATATCTTTGTTGAATTAAATAATCATGGTCATTTTGAATGAATAAATCTCGGGCCATATGAACATATTTATAAGAAATACAATACAATAAATAAATGGCATGAAAAGAAAAAATCACTACAAATACAGAAAACTGACTTTGTATAATCATCACAAACGTTTCATTTAAATATATAAAAAGAAATTACGAAATACATATGCAAATAAATACTATTGTCTTTTTAGATATATATCAATTTTTAAAATAGAATAAGAAAAACATACATACATTTCCAATTAATGTAAATCCAGCAGCTATTACCATACAGTAATTTACACCTGTTTTTGCTAGTAATGGACCTAAAGAAACAGCCACTATCAATTCACCAAGAAAATGACAACTATTCAATAATGCACAATCAATACCGATGCCACGTTTTGATCCATCCCTATTTCTATACTATAAAACACATTTTTTTCAAAATAAGAAACACTTCAATTAATCTTTACTGTTTTATCTGCATGAAATTGCGAAAGCATTTGATAAGGAAGAGTATTTAATGATACAACTAATATTCCAACTGAAATTCTCATAATAATAAATAATAATAATAAATTGAATGAAAAATAAACTTACAAGTAAAACACATTGCAATATTAACAGTAACTTGATGGAAAAAAAAATTCACCGTACAACCAAGTACATAAATGAAATAACCAATAAAATAAAGCGCTTTTAAAGAAAATCTGCTTGCTAACCATCGTTCCAAACAGACTAGAATATAATAATTCAAAAAAGAAAAATATTTTTCTTTTTTAAATTACAAGCATAAATGGCACCACTAGCTGAAAATACAAATAAACCCCAACAACCCATTGTCACACCTAATTTATAACGGAAAAAACCGGGATCATCGCTACCATGTTTCATTGTACCATTATATACTTCCTTTAATAATGAAAGAAAATATCAAGATTATTTCGATAAAATATTCGATATTTACTATAGCCACAAAGTCAGTAAAGTACAAATGAGTAGCAAAATAACCAATCCAACCAATCACCTGACATACCATTAACTTCCATAATCGAGCAGGTATCTGTTTTTTTTTTTGTTTTTAAAAGAATATTTTGTGTAATAAACATAAGGAAATACATACTCGAACCATTGAGATAATCATTGATTTAATTGTTACATTATCTTTGTCATCACAATCATCATTGTCTTGAGATGCAGGACGTCGCATAAAACCTTAATTATGAAAAGAAGATAAAATGAAGTGAAGAAGTTTAAAAACGATTGAATACCTAATTTGACTAATTTTGCTTTTCGGTGTAGTTCAGCGTCAAATTCTTGTGTTTCTATGGTAGTAGGATTGAATGGATCGGAATTTGATATTCGTGCAGCTGTGACTGGAGGAGCGCTTTGGAATGTTTTAAATAAAATATTTTCACATGGTCTCTCAACAACATGATCATGAGGAATACGTTCACCTATAGCTGAATCAATTTCAACAAATCCCTCTTGTTTATTCAAATCACGAAAATATATATTTGCTGTTGAACGAATTGGTTTATTTGATGAATTATATGATCGTGAACTATTTCGACGCGGTGAAAGTAACGAACGCTTTTCATCAATTTCTATTTCTGGCTGTTCATCATCATCATTTGAATTCTTTGTATCACCATTATCACGTGATGATGATGCTATAAGTGGTTCTTCACGAACGCTTGTTAATGTTGATATTGTACATACAATAAATAAAAAGGTAGCAATATAACAAATCACACTAAATTCACCACCTACATCAAAAATAATTCATGCAAATTTTTGAAATATTTATTTATTTTTTTTACCATCTTTCTTAAACATCGAAATATGTGTCCATTTTATTGTACCAACAATAAAACCTAAACCTCCACCAAAACCTATTTAAAATAAATATTGTTTTCATTACCAACATATCATCATTTTCTACCTCCTACAATTAAATAAAAACAAAAAAAAAAATAATTTTTCAAAAAATTCATTCATTTACCAAGAATAGCATGTATATTAAATCCTCGTTCTTGATCCGATGGATTTGTTGTATCAATCAAATAAGCACGTATAGGTGCATTAGCACTATCCGCACAAAAATCTAAATAATATTCCACAATTAATCAATCAAACATAATTGTTTATTCTTTTTTTTACCGATTAAAGTAACTCCAACAGCTGTTAATACAACTGCTCTAATTGGGATCTCCAAAAAATAAAGTAGAAAATACATAAAACTGAAGACAAACTAACCGTTTCAGATGCAGTTGAATCACCGAAAAGTTCACCGAAATCTGTACTATTCAATAACAATGCAATACCGATATAAGCACCTTAAGAAATAAATTTTATTTTTGTTTCAAATAAATATTTTCTAAATAAGTCTACCAATGGCAAATGCTAGAATAAATGGCCTTCGTCTTCCCCATTGACATTTACATGTATCACTCCACATACCAACAATTGGTTGAAAAAAAAAACCAAGAATTGGACTTATAAGCCAAGCCATTGAATAGTACCTTTATTAATAAAAACTGAAAATAAAACAAAATTAAAAAAAAAACATACGATTCATCTACATGTAGTGAAGTTAAAATCGGTACAGTAAGTGCTGTTTCAACTGCTTCTATAAATTCAATCACAAGAACAAATAAAACCAAACGTAAAATAACCCAAAAACTTTTTGATGGTCGTTGATCTAAAAACAATATACCAAGTATAAAGAAACAAAAAGAAAATATGATTGATTATCAGGTATGAATAGAAATCTATAGAATTTACTGAACAATAGTCAAACATATGATTCACTTTTTTTTCTTATGATACATATATATGTTCATTTCGGTATGAGTGAGAATCTATAAAACAATAACATTGATCCAGATGATTATACACACTTCATTCTATTCAATGCGTACCCAGCTGCCAATTTTTTCTTCTATTTCCTTGTTTACATCCATGTGGACCAAAAGACTCCAAAAGAAAAAGAGATACGATAGATATTCACATCTACATCCAACGAGAAACTCTCAGAAAATGGTAGCTCATCAACCAAAATCATCAAGAGATTGAATAATTGTTTTCTTTCTTCTTTACTTAAAATGATAATTATTTCTTTTAACAATATCAATGAATAGAGCAGCCCACTTAAATAAAATGCGTCGTATTTATGTGCCGCTCATGATAGTATCGCCCACTCTACCACGAAAATATGTTGCAATCAGAATGTCTCTTACCATAAATGTATCGTAGTCTATCGGCACACTAGTCATTCAGTGTTTTATTTCGCGCATACAACTACCTATAAACAATTCTATTTAGTATACCCAATTTATACATTTTCGTATATATTCTTTTTCTAGATTAGTCATTTATATCCGAGAACATGTGAAGAAATTGATCATGAATGAACTGCCTTGAAGCGATCTGATCGAGATCAAATTGACTCAGGACTGGAGATCTTAAGAGTGATTCTCTGAGAGACTCAGACACCGACGATGGAGCGACATTCCAGAATTTGCTGATTCTTTGATATGTTATAGAGGACATCGAGTGAAGTAGATCTTGAAATTTTCAGCTCTATCCGACAAGTTTTGATATCGAAATGACTTAAAAAATGGACTGGATTTTTTTACTATTTTTTCTCATTTTCAGCTGTTTTTGCCATAATGTCGAGTCACCGCTTTCGATGCGCCAACAATGGATCGATCTAATATTTTTATCTACGAAAGAGCTCATCGAGCGCTATCGACTAGGATATTTTTCCTTTTTGGCCCATGAAAAAAAAATTTTCTGAAAATTACCCAGAAACCTGACCAGAGGATCAACATAATTCAACACTAATCATCGCGCTATATTGACGCTTCTAGGGAATTTCGAGAAAATTTTTTTTTCATGGGCCAAAAAGGAAAAATATCCTAGTCGATAGAGTTCGATGAGCTCTTTCATAGATAAAAATATTAGATCGATCCATTGTTGGCGCATCGAGAGCGGTGACTCGACATTCTGGCAAAAACAGCTGAAAATGAGAAAAAATAGTAAAAAAATCCAGTCCATTTTTTAAGTCATTTCGATATCAAAACTTGTCGGATAGAGCTGAAAATTTTAAGATATACATAGCTCGATATCCTCTATAACATATCAAAGAATCAGCGGATTCTGGAATGTCGCTCCATCGTCGATGTCTGATAGTGACTGATTTTCTCAGAGAATCACTCTTAAGATCTTATTGTCTAAATCTAAGTATAGGTTATTGCTAATTTGACTTAAACTAAAAAAGGAGTCACTTTCGATTTTTTAGAAAAAATAGTCGACGAGTCGAAAAATTGATTCAAATCATGGTTTCAGAGTATGTCGCAACGAGCATATCGTATCGTACTTTAATGACTCGTGTATTGTGTTGCAAAGTATGAAACATTTTATCTTAGCGTGTGGATGTATAAGACGACAGATAGCAAGAAAAGAACGAAAAAAAAGAAGAGAGACACACACAAACATATTCATTTACAGGCATATACAATTTTCTTTGTTAGAGTGCTCTCTAGCAGCCAATCAGTAGTATGATCATCCAGTGTTATTGACACTTCTCTTCTCTATTATCTAGGTTATCGAAATTTTTCTTGTTCTCAGTCAACTCCCTGTTCATTAGATACTCATTTCTATCAAAAAATACCAACACCTTCACTGATAATTCTTCTAAATAATAGCTCA